AACTTTCCCATCAGACTTTGGCTTTTACTTGAAGTCCTTACTTTACTCTACAATGCATTTCCTCTGCTTGTCTCTTCAACTTCACCTCCTATCACTGGCCCTCCTTGTTTGGAGGGCAAGCTGAAGGGAGTCACACTGGCCTCCTACTGTTCCTCAAACATGTCAAACATATTCCCACCTAAGATCCTTTGCACTTGTCATTCCCTAGGTCTTATACGTTCCTATTTTTTTTTTTTTTTTTAGGAAGTTAGCCCTGAGCTAACATCTGCTGTTGCTGAGGAAGACTGACCCTGAGCTAACATCCATGCCCATCTTTCTCTACTTTATATGTGGGACGCCTGCCACAGCAAGGCTTGACAAGCAGTGTGTAGGTGCACACCTGGGATCCAAACCTGTGAACCCCAGGCCACCGAAGTGGAACGTGAGAACTTCACCGCTACACCACTGGGCTGGCCCCTAGGTCTTATATGTTCTGCTTCTCTTTCTTTCAGTCTCCGCTCAAATGTCACATCCTCAGAGAGGCCTTCCCTAGCTAGGCTATCTAAAATGGAAATCCTCACTTTTTAATCTCTTACCCACCATATTAGTTATATATTGAACAAATGAATGGATGGATGATTTTATATCTTCCCAACAGCCCTTTAAGGTTGCTATTTTCCCCTGTTTACAAATAAGAAAGCCCTCAAAAGGTTCAATGAGGATCAAACAGCACGTAAGTCACAAAGCTAGGACTTGAAGTTATTATACTGCTCCGGATCTAAGACCAGTAATCTAGTCGGAGCCTTATATGGCTTCTCAATTATGTCTCATACCTATGTTTACTTTAAACAGTATCCTCTGAACTCTAAAATGAAGATATTAGTTGGTACTTTGCTTTTTGTGGAAAATCAGATAGGGGTAGAAAGGATAAATCACTTTTCTGAACACTAAGGCAGCACCAGAGTCCAACAACTATGCTTAGACTCTGAAGCTGCTCGCTTCTGGACACAACATCAGCACTACCTCTACTATCCAGGACAAGGGTTCTCAAACTTTTTTCCATAGCCGCACATATGAGAGAGGTTATGAGCACAGGCTGTGGAGCAAACTGCCAAGGTTCAAACCCTGACTGCGCCACTTACCAGCTGTGTGATCTTGGATGAGTTACTTAACTCTCCAAGCCTCAGTCTCCTCATCTGCAAAATGAGAATAATTATAATACTTACCTCAAAAAAGTACTGTGAAAATTAAAGAAGTTTATATATGTAGAGTGCTGAGAAAAGTAGTGTGCTCTCAAATTTTAGCCATTATTAATAGTTTCACATTTCAATACTTTAACAAATAATGTGGGGGCCAGCCCCGTGGCCAAGTGGGTAAGTTCGTGCACTCTGCTTCAGCGGCCCAGGGTTTCACCGGTTCGGATCCTGGGCACAGAAGTGGCACGGCTCATCAGGCCACGCCGAGCTGGTATCCCACATGCCACAACTAGAAGGACCCACAACTAAAATATACAACTATGTACTGGGGCGATTTGAGGAGAAAAAGCAGAAAAAAAAAAAGATTGGCAACAGTTGTTAGGCAGGTGCCAATCTTTAAAAGAAAAATAATAATAATATGTAACCACATTTTAAAGCAAATATAAATGCAAGAGTGTATCATAATCCCAGAATTAAGAACCATCCATTGGATTGGAAGTTAATCTTTAATTGAATGGATTTAATTTAAAAGTTAACATGAAACTAAAATTCAGAAGAATTGAACCAAGAGAGGAAATTTAATTCCCAGAGTTACTGCCATCTCCTATCTTTCAATTTTGAGTTTGAATACCACTAGCAAAGTATACTAGTTGATCTTAAGAGCCAGAAAAGAATGGAAGGGAAACCAGATTCAAACCTTTTAGAGAATCATAAATCATGTCTACCTTTTTTTTTTTAAAGATTGGCACCTGAGCTAACATCTCCTGCCAACCTTTTTTTTTTTTCTCCCCAAAGCCCCCCAGTACACAGTTGCACACCCCAACTGTAGGTCCTTCTGGTTGTGCCATATCTATCTTTTTAAGTGTCCCTCAAAACAAATCAGAAGGCAGAACAATCCATAGAACGTTGTACTTAAATTTCCTATGCAAATGTGCCTGAAGCACTCTGCAGGGGCCCAAGCTTCTGGGCGGTCTAGACATGGTGAAAGTAAGTTGAAATCACAGCACACACATCAGTGGTCATTTGCTTCTCAAACAACTACAACAAACTTCTATATTTTTAAGTCCTGAGGGCTTATCAACTGCTTCAGGAGAGGAAAGAACTTGTCTGTCTTGTTCACCACTGTTTCCCTCACTGGGACAATGCTCGGCACACAGTAGGCACTCAATAAATGTTTACCGAAAAAACAAACCAACTGTTAGACAAAGTGATAGTACTTTCAGCAAAGATGATAACAAAAAGATGAGAAAGAAACTTGTCTATATCCTAAGCACAATGTTACTGTCGAATATTTATGAAATATTGGAAGTTATTTTTGGTAGTGCCAATTTTACCTCGAAGAAGAGATGAAGTATATAAATCTTCCAATGGTAAATCACCAAGAATGGTATCCAAAATATTTAACAACATACATTAAGGTATATGTATACAAAGTAAAATCTAAATCAAAAACTAAAAAATGTGTTTCCTTTTGGTCTCTATATTAAAACTGCTGTCAAGTAATTTAAATTGAAATTCAAATCATTCAAGTCATTCCATTCATTTCCAAATCACCTTTGATTTTTAGAAATTATTGGTGTAATCTTTTGTATGCTGCACATATCAACTGGCTCAACAATGCCCCAATCTAAGCCACAATTTGATGTAAGAAACCACACCAAACCCTTGTAACAACTACTCCATTAACTTTATAGTCATGAGCTCCCCAGCTCCTTATGCTTGTTGCATCCAGGACAGATCTGCAAAAAACTTTGAGCATGGTGATCAGGTATGCTCCTAGATGCCAGAGCCTGGACCAAGGACAGAGAGCACTCACGCCAACAATAATGCCACCAACACCACCTACCCTACCACCCCATTCAATTTTGTTTGGGCCACGCTGGAGCAGAAGACAAATGCTGTATCTCCACAACTATCAGTACCGCCATGAACTTCCACCGCTGCCTCAGTACGCTCAGCACCTCCAGGCCCTATCACTGACCTCCACTGGGCAACAGCATTAGGCGGCTTGTGGTTTCAATAAGCATAAGATTTCTCTTTACTCACTAGTATAGAAGGATTTTAATGTGTAAAAAACTGGTTTGACAATACAGCTATGTACCAACTGAAAATCAACCCTGAATATCACTAATACGGCATCATAACACTATGTTGAAACACCTTTGACACAAATGAACTATTAAGCTGATCATTCGGAAGATAGTTTGGATGATTATCCAAAAGATAGCCATTAAAAAGACTTAAATTTCTAAGTTATTAGGACCACAGTAACAAACTAGTCCCAGTTAGAATCCATCCTCCAAAATCCACCCTCTATCGGCCAGCAATAATTTTGATCCCTTCTGAAGGAGAATATGTCATAATTTTAAAATGGAAAGTAGGTCATAGACCATTTCTTGGGTACATGATGCCAGAGGTGATTGGTTTCAGAGGGGACCACAAATCAAACTTGGCTCTATGCACCAGCAGATAGGTAAATATGTTGGGTCCCGGAGATACTCCCTTATCCCACCCACTCTGCCTTCTCTTTTTTGTGTGTGTGTGTGTGTTTTTTTTTTGAGGAAGATTAGCCCTGAGCTAACTACTGCCAACCCTCCTCTTTTTGCTGAAGAAGACTGGCCCTGAGCTAACATCCGCGCCCATCTTCTACAGCATGGCTTACCAAGCAGTGCCATGTCCCCACCTGGTATCCGGGCTGGTGAACCCTGGGCCACCGAAGCGGAACGTGCAAACTTAACTGCTGCACCACCGGGCTGGCACCCATTAGGTACTTTTTAATCCCCTAAGAGTTCTGGGATGTTACAATCATTACTCATATTTAAATCACAGTGACAGACTGGAAACCTGGTTTTTCCAATTACATAATTAAGCTTACATTTCAGCATTACCATTTAGCTTACTTTCTATTTTATGAACTGAAAATTAATCTTATAAGGCCAAAAACACAAATACACTTTATTGTGGTTTTTATAATTTCATTCAGCTTTTTTTCTGACCTAGTAAAAAGAACTCTTACCAATGTCAGTTTCCTGATTATTCTCCCTGAACTTGGGTGTGGCCAGCCTTTACTACTAGCAGCATTATATCTACCTAATTAGAGAACAACAAAGTTGACTTTTGAAAATAAATGCACACATCAAGTACCAGAAAGTGTTTTTCCTTCACTTATTTTAAGAGTTACTTTTGTTCCTTATGTGTATAAATAAATATATTACTATAATTTGATATTATCTACCCAGTCTTCAACAGAATGAGAGCTAAGAATCAATCAACAAACATTTGCAATTATTTTCTACAATTCTATTTAATCTCATTTTCTGGTGATGTTTAAGTTCAGCCTCATTTATTAACGCTCATTTAAAGAAATCTAAAACTCAACTAAGTGTTGTACAGTTTCCTTACACTAGGTCATCTGTTAACACCTCTCCAATATATTAGAACCCTCTTACGAAGGGTTGTTGTGAATATTGGCATCTGCACATTTCTAAAAGGTTCCCAGGTGGACAGTTCTCCTGGATGTCAACGTAATTCCATTTTTCCAGTCTCTTGGGCTAGATGCAGTTGTTGTATAAGAAGGCAGTGCATGTTGAAGATGTATTTACCCATTACAGCATTTAACAAATTGATCGTAATTGCTAATTTGCTATTGCTAATGACTAATTTCCCTCTAGACTATGAACTCTGTGAAATCAGGGACTGTGTCCATCTAGTGCATCTTTGTGTCCTCAACCTGACATACAGCGAGAGGTCAATAAAATATGCTGAATCAATGAAAGTCCCACCTTGGAGAATGATTATGAAGATCTCCACAGCAATCCCACTTACCGGTGAGATCCAGAGTTCTGTCCACAAAGACCACCGATGCCCTGCCTGCGGCAGTCTTCCTCCTGTTCTTGGCAGGGGCATAATTGGCCAGATCTGCGGCGATGATCCGACTGAGGGAACCTACAGCAAAACACTCTTCCCGTACCCCTAAATGCTCGCACAGAGAACTGAGGCCTGACACCAGGCACCTGATCTGCAGTAGCAGCTCAGGGGGCAGGGCAGTGGCATCCACCTCACCCAGGCTTCCCAGCCTCCTCTTGTCCGGCCGGGCACTGTTAAGGAGATGCACATCCCGGGGTAGCAGTGGAAAAAGGGAAGCAAAGGCTGGAGTCAAGGCAAGGTGGGGAGCAGCAGGGGCGAGCAACAACGGGACGTGCAGCACCTCAGCGGTGTAGTTCATGTTGCCCATCCACTCACACAGCTTCTCCTCCAGTTGCTCGAAGACCGGCTGCTGCCCCTCTAGCTCGGCCGCTGCCGCCGCCGGCACGTGATTAGCCGTGAGGTGGACAGCGTGGTTCACGGCGGTGACCACCACACAATACTGGAAGTGACTGCGGCAGATGATGTCCCGTAGCGTCTCCACGGTACGGCCTTTCAGCAGGCAGCTCAGCACAAACACCGCCTTGGGCTGCTCGGCTCCGCCACCAACTGCGGTGGGCTCGAACTCTCGCAGGTGACACGCAGGACCCCCCACCGCCTCCAAGAGCCGCGTGGATCCGCAGCCCCAGTGCAGGCTCTCGGCGCAGGCAGCGTCCAGGTAGACCAGGGCCCGTTTCACTTTGGCCAGCACCTGCTCCCAGCCTTGGTGGGTAAAGGACAACACACCCGGGTCGCTCATAGTTGGGAATTCGCAAGCGCGGGCACTCAATTGCAGGAACTTCTTTCAGAACTCACAGCTTCCGGGAATTGGGCTCCCTGAGACTTTGACAGTCAACACAGTACACGTGGTGCCGCCTCCGACTCATCTATTGACCGCGCACGGTGATGACGTCAACGAGCGTGATTGGCTAGCGAGAAGACCGGGCTCCTGGAAGGATGCTGAAGACTGGGAAGCAGAAGTGGGCAGGGCTCCCTGGCTCTGGGGTACCTCGAAAGTTTGGGGAGTTGAGAAGGAGCTGCCTAGGAAATAGCCGAACTGCGTTCTTTTCCTCTCCCAGTCTTCTGAGATTACCTTTCCCTGCCCCTGTGAATCCGAAGTTTTATATCTTCCTTGGATATGAACACATCTCTTTAAAAATACAGCCACTTACCCCATCTAAACGTAGAGTAGCCAGAGAAGATAAAACAACCAACTGTAATGTTTTGTAGTTTATAGATTGCCGTCACATACGTTATTGCACACAGGCCTCATAACAAACCTACTGGTTTCATTTTCACTTTCTCCACCTTCCCTCATTTGTCTCATTGTCACCAAATCTTTTTGTTTTTTTTTTTTTTGAGGAAGGTTAGCCCTAAGCTAACTACTGTCAATCCTCCTCTTTTTGCTGAGGAAGACTGGACCTGAGCTAACATCCATGTCCATCTTCCTCAACTTTATATGTGAGACGCCTACCACAGCATGGCTTTTGCCAAGCAGTGTCATGTCTGCACCTGGGATCCGAACAGGCGAACCCAGGGCCACCAAGAAGCCGAACGTGCAAACTTAACTACTGTGCCACCAGGCCGGCCCCCTCATTGTCACCAAATCTTGATCTGCTTCAAAAATCCTGGAATCCAGCCCCATCTCCTCATCCTTGCTGTCACAGCCTTAACCCACCATCATCAATCACCTGGACAATTGCAATGATCTCCCATCATTTCCCAGTTTTCCATCTCTTCCCTCTCCAGTTCAGTTTTCTTCCTAATAAACTAAGCTGGTCCTACTATTTTCCTGATTCAAAGCCTGTCCTGGCCCAATTGACTAGAGGACACAGCCAGATTCCTTCAATTGCCACCAAAATCGTTCATAATTTCTCAATTTTCTCCAGCTACTTCCAGCCTGGAACATTATATACCTACACAATGAAGTCAACAGATTGAGCCCTGAATGTTTCATGGGTTCCATTCATTCAACCATGATTTATTAAGCATTTACTAAGTATACACTGTGCTAGGCTCCAAAGATACAATGATTAATAAAATAAATTTCCTGATCTACAAAGAATTTACAGTGGTAAACTCCTACCAAAAATAATCATTCTAATGATACCTTCCATGTGAGAGTTTTCCTAACTCACTATCACCAGTACCATCACTCTCTCCTCTCCCTCATCCCCTCAACACACAACAGTTGATACCTCCGCTAAGTACTTGCCATATCATGGGGTAAGTCTTAACATACCTGTTTTCCTTAAGATACCTGTTCTGCTAGATTGTGCACTACAGGTCTGGTATCCCCAACACTAGAAAATAATACGTATTTAATAAATGTTCATTGAATAAATGTTCAATTCATATCCATATAATAAATAATATAGTCAACGAACTCTTAATGGAAAGGTACAATATTCAAGACACTGTTGGACATTGAGGAGATAAAGAGAAATAAGCAACAGCCCTGCCTTCAAAAGAATCTGAAATAAAAGTACTGCCACATGTACAGCAAACAACTGCAACAAAATGTAGCAAAAGCAGTGACTTTTTTTTAATGTATAAGAATTACAAAGGAAGAAAAATAAATTCTGACTTGGTGAGGGGAAAAGGGAAGTGGTCAAAAGAAGTTTCATATAGGACATGAGTTTTGAGTTGCCTTCAAAGAAAGTCAGGTGTTCACCAGGTGGACAGGATGGGGAGGAGCATTCCTGGCAGTCCTGGCAGAGAGTGCAGCACGAACAAAGCCATAGAGGCATGAAACCGTACAATGTGTTCTCTAGAATTACAGTTTAGTATAGCTGGAGTGCACTGCATGAAGAGAGACCCAAGAAGAAATAGGAGCTAGGAACTAGAAAAGAAGGGAGTAGATCAGGATGAATCTTATTTTCGATTCTAAACAGTAGCAGCCAATGGGGAACTATTAAAGTATTTTGAGGAGTAGAAAAAATTTGTCCACATCTGGAGTTGATAAAAGAAAAGATCCTAGTAAGACATAGGGCAGGGAAAGCAGTTAGGAAACAGTGACAGCAACCACTAGGGCCAGATTAGATAAGGATACCAATAAAGGGGATGGGCAGTGAGGGGTGTCTAAGGAGATGTCATGAAGATAGAGCCAAAAAATCTAATGACTGGATTGACAGAGAGTGAGGCAGAGAGAGTAGTTCAGGTTAATGCCCAGTTTTCTGCCTGAGTGACTGGTAAATGGCAGTCACTGAGATTTGGAAAACCAAAAGAGAAGCGGACTGGGGGGAAAATATACTGAGTTCAGTTGGAACATGTATTTATTTGTTTGTCTGTTTTTCTAATTGTGGCAAAAGACAGATAACATAAAATTTACCATCTTAACCATTTTTACGTGTACATTCAGTAGCATTAAGTATTTTCACAATGTCCTGCAACGGATCTCCAGAACTTTTTCATCTTGCAAAACTGAAACTCTATATCCATTAGACAACAATAATTCCCCTCCCCCTCGCAACCATCATTCTACTTTCTGTTTCCATGAGTTGACTATTCTAGATATCACATATAATTGGACTCATACAATATTTGTCTTTTTGTAACTGGTTTATTTCACTTAGCATAATATTCTCAAGGTTCATCCATGTTATATGTGTCAGAATTTTCTTCCTTCCATTTCTTGCCCTTAGATATTATGGCAGAGTCAAATGAATTCCTGCCAAAATTACATGCTTAAGATCACCAGATTTACCTTATTTAAATGTAATTTTTACTTCTCTGCTCAAAACAGCCAGCGGTTATTTCCCATTCTTCATAAAATCAAGCATATCTCCCTTCGCTTTATTTCAAAGTCCTCCATATGCATGATCAACACTTAACTTAAGGATTTACTAAGCACATTCCGTGTGCTTGACATTGTAAGAGAGGATCTGGTGAATACTGATATAAATAAATTTTGTTCTCACCCTTAAAGAGTGTACGGTCTATGTAACAGTGTAGATGTGAACACGAGATGATGCAATTTTCCAGAAATAACTAGTAATATAAAATTTAGTGTTAAAATATGTCAGAATACAGAGGAAGATGGATAATTGGGGCTTAATTCCTCATGGAAGTCTCTAGAGAGGAAGAAAAGCTACACACACATGCAGTTATTCAGATTGTTCACAGAATGAAAGGTCTAAACCATAACACACCACCCACTTGCCTCTCACTTGTCAAATGATTTGACATTTGAAACCTCATTTTAGCTCTGTTATCCTCCCAAGAAGTGGGTATGAAACGTTATTTTAATATATCAATTTACTGGTGAGGAAACTGAGGAACATTGAGATTTAAGGGACGTGTTTAAAGTTGGCAGCAGATAGCACAGTTGAGCCTAAATGCCCTATCTGTTCAAAACACATTTATGAATACTTGCGACTTCGTATCTACTAGATACTGAGCGAGGCACTCTTATTTGATCTTTACCTTTTTGTCATCATTTTAATCGTCATCTACCCATCATTCCCTTTCAGTACTTCTCAGAGATAGATATATTAAAACTGATGCTTTGTTGTTTTTTCGCCGAGAACCAAAAGATCATAAAAAATCCGCACTCTTTAAATATTTGAACATAATACAAATATAATCAAAATATATGAAGTATTGTAGTTTGATAAGGTCATAACTTTATTAAGTATCTTCGAACTACCTGTCTTTGAAGTCTCTTCTGGTGAGGAGAGAGATAAAGACTCCTTTAACTAAGGACGCTTATCCAGACAAGGATCTCAGTTGGAAGCAAGAAGGAAGAGGCATTTTAAAAGTGGTTATTAGTGATTTATGGGCTTCTCTGCTTGCGGAAATCTTCATTTTCAAAGCTTAGCTCAAATGCCACCTCCATAATGAAGGCAATTCTGATGCATCAATTATTATTCATCAGTTCAGTTTAAGTAATGCCTTGAAAGAAGCTCATTTCAGGCACCTGAAAGGAGAAAGAGGCTGCTCAGCAATAGGCAAGTGGTTCTCCCATGAAACCACCAAAGTTCATTATAGACTCATGGAATGACAAACAGAAAGATAAATAGAACTATAAGTGATTGCCTTATGATACTTCCAAGTAGAATGTAAAATCTTCATTCCATTAGTGTCAGTAAAGGCCAAGAAGATCTAATAAGTAGTCAGCACCATACAGGGAACGAGACTGACATATGAAAAAATGCCCTGTTTGAGAGAGGACTCGGTCTAATGACGAATCTTAGGAAAACAGATATGTAGTCAAATAATTACTATATGATATGATAGGTACGTGTCACAGAAGCAGCACAGGGTCTAGAAGAGAGTGATTAGGTCTGCCCTAGTCACCCCCAATAACTCTGACCTCATCTATATCCTCTTTCTCCCTCACTCCACTCCAGCTATCTTTTGGGTTCCTTGAACACACTAAGTATGCTTCTGCCTCAGGACCTTTGCATTTCCTGTTCCCTCAGTCTGATAGGACTTCACCTAGAAATCCACAGGGCTTCATTTTTCTCTTCATTCATGTCTTTACTCTTATATCACCTTATGAGAGTAGCTTTCCCTGACCACACGATACAAAATTGCGCCCTCTCCCTCTTCACCACTCTGCTCTGAGTTCTCCCATCCTGCTTACTCTTCTTTGCAATCTTTACCACCACTTGACATATTAGACATTTATGTTTATTGGCTATCTTCCTCATTAGAATGAAAGCTTCATGAGAGGAGGACTTTGTTTTTGTTTTACTCACTGCCAAATCTACATAGCCTAGAACAGTTCCTGACACTGGTGGACACTCCAGAAATAAAATTTGAATTTACTTATTGAATAAATAAAGGGAGGAGATGAAGAAGAATTTAGGAAAGATTTCACACAGCTGATTACAACTCAACAGAGTTCAGAAGGATGCAAGGATGGGGCTGGCCCAGCGGCATAGTGGTTAAGTTCCCTGGGCT